GGTGATCGGTATCGGTGATCGGCCCTCATGGGTGATCGGTATCGGGAGGAAAAAACCTGATCGGCACATCTCTAATTCTCATCATTTTATCCGGCTTTTAAGTCACTGATGATGGGATGTAAATCGTTCACACACAAGTCTCGTTGCAGTTGTCTTTAATATGTTATAAGAACAACCACAGAAGAAAAAAAAAGCATCAAGACCGGCTGTGTGAACTTAGACTAATATTTAACAATACACAAAGTTATATTTAAGGGTGTCAGAGTAAAGTGGGATCAACTCAAATGCCTGCCATACTGCTCTAATTTTTACTTGCTAAAGGAAAATCTGAAAATCTTCTCCACTGTGCAGTTTTGCGCCTCTTTGTGTTGGTTGAAGTTTGTGGCTGTTTGTAGCAAAATGTGGGGAACGTTCAGTGGGCGTGGACGCTCCGTCAGGGTCGCCGGTGTTACGGCGGCGTCACACGTTGTCGCTTCTCTCTTTGACCAGCCGGTCGACAGGGAGCCTCTCATCTACCACATGGACTCTGTGTCCCGCCGGAGCGAGGACCACGCCGATCTGCCCGACGAGTTCTTCGAGGTGACCGTGGACGACGTGCGTAAGCGCTTCGCCCAGCTGAAGAGCGAGAGGTGAGTGGAAGGAAACGACAAAACCGGCCGATTGTTTGTTTGCCAGATTAATAAAACAAAACGGGTTGCCGCAGAAACCCATCTGAATCCGACTTCTGGTCCTGCACTCTTTGAAGCAGATAATTAAGTCGGTTTTGCATGTGGTCCTGTGGTGTTTTGCCAATATGTAACTATTAATTGTCGAATACCACAGCAGTGATGCGAGGCCACAGGCAGGAAGAATGCCGGGCATCTCTGCGTGTGTTTAGAAGGTTTTATTTTTTTTCCATCCCGCCTAATATGAGTTTGAAGTTCTTATTTATTTATGAGCACTTCCTCAAAACAGATGGGGCCGAGTTTACTCTGCCGTCTCTGGATGCGGCCGCTGCGGATCGCAGCTGCGGAGACGTTGTGTGTGTTTGCAAACATGGTTCCTTTTATAACACGCCCCACACACACTACAAAGGCCCCACGAACGCAGTGTACTGGCAGCAGTAAGTAAACTCTGTTCTGTGTAGCCCGGCCAGTCAGCGGACCAAACGCGATCAGGTTGAGGCCTCGCCGAGCGCAGACCTTTAATCTGCACCGACGTGCTGCCTCGTTGCGACCCCGCTACCATGTCGTTGACTGCAATTACCGAAGCCGGAGTTAAGCCGACCACGGCAATTTGTCTCTGCCTCCGACACACACAACACGCATGCACGGCCACACACGCGCTCGTCTGTTTCTCCGCAGCGTGCTTCGTATCTGAACCCGTGTGTTTGCCTCTGTTCCCTGTTTTCTCCAGGAAGTTATTAGAGGAGGCTCCGCTCCTCACTAAGGCTTTGAGAGAAGCTCAGATGAAGGAGAAGATGGAGCGCTATCCCAAAGTGAGCGACGTCCAAACGTTCCTCTGGTCTGCATGGCTTTGCAAAAGTATTTGTACCCTTGAACTCCTTACAACAACAAACTGACATCTGTTTTATTTGGATGTTTTGTTAACGTACCAGCATGGAGTAGTGCGTAAGTGTGAGGCGACAGGAAAATCAGACAGGATTTTTAGGTTTTCTTACCACTACAAATCTAATAGACTGACAAATTTGTTCATTCTCCTTTACGCTGGGCTTTTTCACACCTGATAGTCCAGTGGACTCGGTTCGATTGGGGACCAAAATTGCAACATTTGTTACATTTTCAGCTGATGGGGTTCGCTTTCACACTGTGTCAAACAATTCAAACCCCTTGAGCAAGCTACGGCGGTGCTGCAGCAAGAACTACTGAAGTCAAACAACACAAAAACCTCTGAAGAAGACATGAACCTCCTTCTTCACAAAATTCAAACAAAAATAGAGTAGGGTCAGATTTTAGCGGTTGTGGGATTTCTCTTCTGTGTTTCTAAGCCATTTCTCCTGCTAACACTAGACTCTAGCGTTGTTTTAATTTGTATTTACCCAGAATGCCCTGCGCTATAGTCCTCTTTCTTCTTTTGGAGTGGTCTCGGTCTGTTTGGCATTCAAAACTGAATCAAGACCTGTGTTTTTAGGTGGACCAGAGTTCGCTTTTTTGGTCTGCATCAGAGTTTGATTGCGCATCAACACCTCCCCAAACAAACCGGACTTTCTAGACAAACGGATTAGAGTTTGATTACAGCGGACTAAAAACGGCTGGTGGGCAGTATAAATCTGTGAAGGCCTCAGACGGGACACAGCACCTCGAAGACCAAGATGAACAACCAACAGATCAGGGAGAAAGTTGTGGATAAGTTTAAAGCAGGATTCAAATGATAAAATAATATTTGAAGCTGTGCACATCTCACCACAACCCTACCAAGATATGACAGGCTGGTTGAGGAGAGCATTGATCAGCTGATCAGCCAAGAGGACGATGGTAACGCTGGAGGGACTGCAGAGATGAGTAAACCTGGCCTTTATAGAAGAGTGAAAAAGCCGTTGCAGAAAAAAGTTGAGTCCTTTTGAAAGTTTGCAGGGAGCGCAGCAAACATGTTGAAGAAGGAAGATCGAAACCGAAACTATAAAACATTACCTGGAGTACAACTAACACTCCTGTTGTAAAGAGGCTCTGCAGATGCAACTTAAGGATTTTATTTCTAACAACCGAATCGTGAAGAAATCTTTAGAAACAGTCTCCTTCCCCAACATATTCGTCTTCCTTTCATCAGTTTCTTCCATATTGTTTGATCGCTTCCACATCATGCTGGAATCCGTACCATTTCCTTACATGATCAGTCCCAGTGCAAGACCTCCTCTTAGAAATATTCTCCAACCCACTCGGATGCCTCTGTACGATCAGACACTACCCCGCCCTTTTAAAGAAAGGGGAAACAATTAATTCTCTAGAGACGCGCCCTCAAAACATTTGCTCCTGTAATTGCAGCAAAAGGTTCCACTAAGTTTTGGCTCATGGATTCTGAATACCGACGTGAGCTACACTTTTACTTGTACAGACCGTTTCATTACGCACTGTCCTGTGTTGGCATAAAATCTCCTCAAAACACACTAAATTTAGATTGCAACCTGGCAAAATATCCAAGTTTCAAGTGGCATCAATACTTCCACAATGAGTCAATCACGTGTTTTTTTTTAAAATTCAGTGTGTACATCCTGTGCGTCTCCAGGTGGTCCTGAGGATCCAGTTTCCAGACAGACATGTTCTCCAGGGCTTCTTCAGGCCCCTTGAGACAGGTGCGTGTTGTGTTTGTGCTCATTTCACCTGACTAGCCACAGGTATGGCTGCAATGCGACGTTTACTCGTGGCTCTGTAAACACATTCACGACTGCAGCCGCAGCAGAGCAATATAGACGGAAAGAATGAGACGGGTCTGTAATTCCAGGGATTATGAGCAACAGCCATCTGACAGCCAGCATAGGGGAAAAAAACAAGTCGAAGAAAAATTCCTTCTGAAACATCAATTACAGTCCACAAACTGAGTGATGGAGGTAGAGCTTGTTTTTTTTTTGTTTTGTTTTTGTTTTTGTCCAGTCGGTGCAGTGAGACACTTCCTGAGAAGTCACTTGGAGGATCCTGAGATCAGTTTCTACTTATGTAAGTGGCATTTAATCTCCTTTTAGTTATTCCATGTATCCAAACTCACCCTTTAAGACGTCGATCCACCTTTCTGCTGTTGTGTAAACCTTTAAAATCACCTTTGAGTACTAACAGACGACACCCTGTTTCTATTCAAGTCAGTTTATTTACGTAAAAATGAACAACAAATATCATCGGCCAAAATGATTTGCTTGATGGTCGGGTTGGGCCAACATAAAGTTTTCTTAATCTACTTATGGTAGTCTTCATAAGTAGAGTAGCTCTGCTCTGCTCTACTTCTATCAGTCACACGTCCCCAAATATTTGCACCTGACTCACCCTGCGGTTACAGCAAATGACAAAACGGATCTGGAAGATGTTAAACACGAGCTAAAGACAGGAGAAGTTACACTGCTTACTCAGATTCCGGTTAAAAAAACTAAAGCGGTAAAATCTTAATTAACACAATATGTAGGGTTTACTTCGGGCTGTGGCCGATAATTAACGGTAATTAATTAGTCGACTAGGGTTAAATTTTTTTTTTAAGCCTTATCTAGACTCTAGTTGGCAGCAGGCATACATTGCAAATAATACATAGTTAAATACAGTGCAGCTAAAAACATGTTTTTTTTATCCATCTCCAAAGAGGTTTTGTCAAAAATGAAGTTTCTCTCCAGGTTGCACGTCTTAATTCAGGACATGATGATTTTATAATTATTATTTGCCAAAATTAGCGTGACATCCACAGCTACACACACATTGAAAGCAGCTGAACACACAAAAAAAACTAACAGATGAAATATCTTCTGACGTTTTAAGCAATAGCTTTTCTTTTAACTGCTGCTTTTCTAAATTCCTGCAACAGTCAGCTGTGCTATAATGCTTAGCTTGAGCACAAACAAGAACAGCTGTTTTTTTTTATCTTCCACTATTACTCACATTCAGCAGCATTGCTTATAATAAAACGTGACGCTTTCACGGTTTAAATATGTTAAGTTGCTTCATCTTAACTTCTTATGCTTATTGTTTGTTTTAAATTGTTTGTTTTTTTTCTATTGTCTTGTTGTACTTAAAGCAGTTCGGTGATTAAAGTTTCACATTCTAAGGTTTGTGTTGAAGCAGAGCAGTGCAGCTCGTGGTAACAACGCGTCTCTCAGGCCAACAGCGGCAATTCCAGGATTCTGATGCTTAAAACCACAAGGAATCTGAGCAAATATGCAAACTCATTGTTTCAGTTTTCAACCCATAATTTCCACCGCAGTCTAATCTTATCGACGACTCGTCTGCAACACTTTTTAGTACGTTCAGTCTCGGCTGCATTCAGAAGCTGTGCACCCAGTGTGTGTGTGTGTGTGTGTGTGTGTGTGTGTGTCTGCCTGCCTGGCCTCCTCTGAGGGTGTTGGAATAAGGGAGAGGAAATTAAAAAAACGCCATTCACAACAAAAGTCGTCCGTCTCCGAATTAAGTCTTTGTGGATGGGACATTTTGATTAAGTCTGAGTGTTGATGGATTATACTTGATGCTTTAAATCTTTTGATGTACTTGCTATTTTGTTGAAAGCAGTTATTCGTCTTTCTTGCGAGTGGTCACAAAAGTTCAGAGTATCAACAGCTACGTTCGTTTGGGGTACAGCGCCTTGCAAAAATATTTATACTCCTTTAGGTTTTCCACATTTTGACACATTACGACCTCATACTTCAGTGTTCGTTATTCAGATCGCATGTGACGCAGAAGAAGAAAAATAATCTTTACTTTTCAGGTTTTTATTTTTAGTAAGAATCTGGCAGCCTTGGTATTTTGTGTTTACAGCCCCACAGAGTCAAAACTTTGTTTAAAGAAAAATAATAAAACTTTCACTACAACTTCAAATATTTTAGGGTATGTTTGCACATTTAAACACTAATGTTTAAATGTGCAACATTCAGTGTTTAAATTGGACTTTTGCAAGTCAAATTTGCAAAACCACAAAGATGTTTTCTGTTTACTAAGTAGGTGATTTCTGAATAATGAACAAATGTCACATTTCTTCAGTTTTATGTTGTGAAACAATTTAAAACCATTTATCATTGTTCTTCCTCTTCACAATTACACACCACTTTGTGTCGGTTGCATAAACATGCATTGAAATGTGACAAAGTGTGAATAAGTGAGAACTCGTGCCAGAGAACAAATCCACCAGTGATTTGTACTTTATATTTAAAGTTAGGTTTAAATAACTGCTGATTTGATCATGAGTTCAGTTATCAGTTTGTGATTTCCTCCTCTCTCCTTTTCAGTCATCACCCCTCCAAAAACGATTCTGAAAGACCCTTCAGCTACTCTGGTGGAGGTAAGGTCATTCCCCTTCACTCTGACGCCGGTAAAACGACTGATTTCTCCCCCCTCTCTCTCTCTCGGCACACACTATAAAATGTTTCGGCTGGCTCTTCAAAGCTCCTCTGCATTCTTGCCCCCTCCATCCCTTTTTGTTCACTTCAACTCATACATGCCCCCCCCACCACCCTTCTCTCCACTGTCCTTGACCCCAGCTGGGCTTGATTTTTCCCAGACTGGCACATGGGGTTAATACAGGCCTCGCTTTGATCTCTCTCACACACACACACATATATACATGGAGCAGTAGGCAGCCAGGATGCTTTGTTGTCTTTGAGTTTAGAGGGAAAAGGTGTCAGAGTTATAAAGTAGTTACTTCAGTTCCTCCTCTTAATTTTAAATATTTTAGTTGGGGTTACGTACGTATTCGACACCTGAAAAAGCTGCAAATCAAAGGGGGACTGGGGGAGTGGGGGTCGTTTGAAGTTTATCTTGTTGTGATGATGATGATGAAGATTCAGCCCTCAGTGGGGCTGGTTACGAACGATAACAATCCTTCAGGAAAAAAAACAAAAAACCTTAAAAGCCCACTTTGAAATGTCTTTGTTGAGGCTCTCCCGTGTCGGGATCTGTCTCGGTCAAATCAGACGCTGCGATGTTCGGCAACTGTCTTTGTTCTCCGTCTCCCGAGTCGTTACCCGCAACTCGTCTCCCCCCGACCTCCCCGCCTTCCTGCACCCCAACTTCAACGGTTTCTTTCCGTTTAGCCTCCAGCACCCAGACGGTCCCTCTCTCGCTCTTCCTCTCTCTCTCTGGCCTTCACCCACATGTCTCTATCCATTAGGGACTTAAAAGCGTTAAAGTGCGCAAAAACAAAATCTTTAATCTCCGCGCACACTCAGGCACGTACCGTCTGTCTCCGTTTCTGAGTCTATACATCAATCTTTGACTCGCAGAAGGAATCTTTAATCTTTCTCTGTCATGCCACACAGACATCCGTGCACATGTGCCTCACACACACGCACACTAACGTGCACTTTAATCACTTTGTGTCATGTCAGGAAAGGAATGTTTCCCCAACCCAGAGGCCCTTTGATAGCAGGCGTCCCCTCCCTCACCCGTCTGCCCCTCGCTCTTCCGTCAGGACCCGTTCCGCCTCCTCCTCTGTCGCCCTGTGTTTTTTACTCAATCCCCCCTGTCCGTTCCTCTCACACACCCACAGGTCTCCTCTCGTCGGCCCGTCTCTTCCGGAGCGCGGCTTTGTAGGGGACGGGATCGCAGGAATGCTCGTTGTTCTGCTGTAACGCATTGCTTCCTGCTCACAGGGCTCTGATGACAGCAATTAGGCCAGCGTGTCCCATTTTAGCAACCAGCTGCACAAAAGACGGATGGAGGACGGTGCCCGTGTGAACCCACGTGACCCTGGCAGCCACCTGCCCCATGTCGCTGCAGAGTAGCTCCGTGACAGAGCTGAAACGATTAATTGTGATGAGCTGGTGATTGAAATAATCGCCAACTACTTCTGTAATCGACTAATCGTTACGTGGAGAGCGCGTACTCAAAAAAATGCTGCTTCTGAAAGACAAACTCAGAGCAGTAACTAATCCAAAACTGTACAAAAAGTATATATGTTTTGGGGTGTTGTGGTAGCGCAGGGGAAAAGCACAACCCACCCATTGGTCCTCGTGGCGTTGGTCGCAGGTTCGATTCCCAGCCTGGAGACACTTGCCGCATGTCTTCCCCCTTTCTCATTCCCCTCCTTCCCGTCAAACCACCTTCAAATAAAGGCCACTAGAGCCAACAAAACCTTTAAAAAAAAGATGAGAACAAAAACTTGTCTGTACGAACCAGAACTCCTCAAGATGGAGAAAATAATCTATTAAACACTTTTTGCTGTCCATTTATTAATCTGTTAGTCCTAAAACTAATCACCAGATCAGCCCTACACTATATTGATCCTAAGTCAGTCAAAAAGGGCTGATTTTTTTCAGATGTTGATGTTGGAAGTACTTTTGCTACAAATGATCGTTCACTAAAGGAATGCTAAGTTATTGAATAATAGGCAATAAAATGTTTATTTCCTTATTTGAAAAATAAATGTATATGTTCATCTTGTAATGCATTTCTAATATTGTATATAAAGCTGCTTAAGTCGTTATATGAAATTTGCAGAACGGGACCTTTTTTTTTATCTGATTCATCGTCAGAATAATTGATAAAATAATTAATAATAATAATAATCTGCAGCCCTAAGACGTACAGTCTCTCTGATATTGTTGCTGTTAGAGACTTATAAACGTCCTCATCGTTGTTGTGATTAGTGATGGCGTCTTGTCATGCAGGTCGTTTTACTGCATCTACTTGATGCGGAAGCTCAGCTGTCGTCAATTCACTGATTGCCTGCTTGTTGTATAAAGTTGTTTGATCTGACGAAGCGACCGACATGAAACGGGGAAGTAAAAGGGATGAAAACCCAACAGGTGGAGCAGTTCCTGCCGTCGGCACCATTTTACAGAGAGTATCTCTCCATCAGGACCATCTTCCCACCATCTTTCCTGCAGACGCTCTGAGGCTTACTAAAGGTGTTTCCACACCCGTTGGTCCGATAAACTCGGTTCTATTGGGGACCAAAATTGCAACATTTCCAGCTGATGCATTTCGCTTTTATTTACACTGCACTGTCTCAAACAGACTGGACTAATTGAAAAACCTGTTCGCTCCCTCCCCGCACCAAGAATCCGTGAAGGAAACATGAAAACCTCAGAAGAAGACGCCGAGCACAACTTCCTCCTTCATGAAATGTAAATCAGAATGAAGTGACATCGGGTTTTAGTGGTTGTAGAGTTTCTATTTTGTCATTGGCAAAACGCCACAAAACATTTCCCCCACCAACGTTAGTCTGTTTTGGTTGTATTTACCCAGAATGCCCTGTGCTACAGAGTCCACTTCCTGCTTTTGGAGCGGTCTCCGGTCCACTTGCATCCATGTACGCATTTGAGCCGCACGAGAATTCACTAAATAATGAGATTAATTAAAACGGAAAATGTACATTGAGGCATATTAATCATGGAAACCTGAGGTCTGCCGTCTCTTCCTCTCTCCACATGTTCTTTATTGGTTCAGGCCTGTTTCCTGGTCAGCCAGTCAGAGATGCCGTGGTTATGAAGCAAATTAGCTAAATATTGTTTGAAATGGCCATTTTTGTTTGCTTTCTTGTGTTTTCAAGTGTTTGGAGCCAAGAAGGAGACTAAATAAATCACTCATTTTGTAGTTCTTGATGTTCTGGAGGAGTGAATTATGACCGACTTTGTTTCAGTATTCTTGTTTTCACATCAGGATTTTTGAAATGTTTCAGCCAGTTCTGTGGTTTCGATGTTTCTGCTTAACTGCGATCTCTAATTAAGATAAAAGATAACCTTCCCATCCCAATTTTATCCAGTTGTTTTCTGTTTACAAAAACGGCCGTTCTCTCCTCCACAACAACCATTTTGTGTGTTTCTCGTGTGAAGAAGACATTTTCTTTAGCTGTTTTTCGCTTCTGTCCTATTAGAGTGACAGACGTGCTCCCCGCCTGCCCATCCGTCTGTGTTTTTCACCTCAAAATTACACGGTTGATGATATATCTTCCTGGCACTGGTCCATTATAACCATTAGGACCATCTACGGTGGAGGAATGTGGAGCTTCAGGGGTGAAAGTGTTTTCGCTAACCATTTGATTGGTGCTCATTTTGTGGTCCGCTTCAAAGAACGGTGGTTGCTGGTTCACATCTCCCCCCTGAGCCATGAATTATCCCAGGAAACGAGCTTAATTTCTGCCTCTGATTTGCCAGGAACGTTTGGTTTGCTTGTAGCAGGAGGCAGCAGCAGTTCGTTCTGTCTGTTTGTAGAAATTGACGAGAATGCCAAACATTTTGAAAGCTTCTGTTTACTCGCCCGCTCTCTGTGTCTGTCTTCAGGCCGACTTGTTTCCCGGTGCTTTGGTGTACTTCGGCTCTGACGTCAAAGCAGGTTTTTGCTTTTTTTGTTTTTTCCCGCTTTTACTCACATTTTATGCCAGCTTCAAATAAATACTTGTGTTTTTGCAGGGGACTTTAATACAACCCAGTTTTTCCTCCACAGAGTTTTACATAAAGAGAGATCTGCTTGAGACGTCCGTTTCAGCCCTGCAAGCCAATGAGTCCATTGCGAGGTATGTGGAATCTCTTTGAGGTTTTGGTTATATGACAGGTGCCCCTATTCGCCCTCATTTCCTCCGCACACACACAAACACACACATCACCATGCCCCAGTACTTTTAAAGATAGAGCCTTAAAAGTGACCCTCAGCTGCTGGAACAATGTTGGCACTTAACCTCGTCTTAGCTGCCCAGCCTGGACAGAGTGCATCCTTAATAAGTCTGAATTTTTGATGAATTTAAGACTTTTAAGGCCTTAAAATGTCTTAGATTCACTGGAAAATATGTCTTAAGTTTATCTCTGGTCTTAAATTTTGTCGAGCTTAAGTACGTATAGTCCATGTAGGTTATTTTTCTCGTCTGACTTTACTGTCAGGCAAAAAAACTTTGCACTCAGACATCTTCATTCTGTTCCTTGACTTGATACGTTTGAAGCTACCACTAACTAGCTGCTAATGAACCCTTGCTAGCTAGCTAGCTTGTTTTGCATCTTTCATTGATAAGGATGGCCTTTATCTTTGCCACTGGCTCACCTCTGTTGCTAACCTGCTATGCACATTCTGTGCAAAAAAAGCTCGGTACTACTACTATATAAAATATCAAATTTTCCATTGCGATACAAGTCTTAAATTTAATTCACAATGGTCTTAAAAAGCAGAAACTCTAAAGGAAAACAATCCAGCTCTGACCAGACACAAACATGCCTCAGTCAACACTTCCCCTCTGAGGTTTTCTGCCTCTTGTTTCCTCACTGCAGCTGCCTGCTCCGGTCCCCAGAGACCACACCCGGCTCAGAACCTGTCGAGGAGCCTCCGCCGCCCGCAGAAGCGATGGACGCTGACCCAAAGTCTGCGCGGGAAGAGCCAGAAGCGTCTACACAAGCACATGGCGCTAAGCCGGCCAGAGCCGAGCCGGGCAAGGTGCCCAAGTGGTTCAAACTGCCAGGTGAGGAGAGGATGTACGGCCACTGGAGCAAACAGTGGGTATGCACTACATGCAGCGCACATGGGTGCTGTGCTCAAGGGGGCGCCAAAATGGTGGCGCAAAAATTATTTCTTGTTGGCGTTTTCTGTATTTAACAACTTTGTGCATGACGTAACCAACATCAGAGGGGCTTCAGTTATTATTTTAGACATCCCCCTTTCTCCCCACACGCCGAGTTATTCGCGAGGTTTGCGTTGAGCGTGTAAGCCAATCAGGCGCTGGGGCTTTTATACTTGCCACATGGGGCCCCAGGACTTCAATTTTTTTTTTTTTTTTTTTTTTTTGATTTTGGGGGGGCATTTTTTTTTTTTTTTTTTCCCATTTGAAATGGTTTCAAAAAAAAAACCTTCTA